ATGCAGCTGTATAAATTAATCTAGAGTCTAGCACACCTATCTGCCACATATTAAAGCTTGCATGATACTGAGCTATGTATTTCATATAAAATATAAGAGTACCTAAAACAAGGAAAGGACACAAGAGCATAATTACTGGTGGAAAGGAGGTAAGGACCTGTTGTCTCAATTAATCACCGTGCCCAGCATACTCCACACTTCTCATAAGGCATATGTATGACCAGAATCATTCTCTCATCCTTACTGATAAGAGGTGAAATACCTTCTTTAAACTAAAATTAGAACTATCATCCATTATTTAAGCTCTTAAAATATTTTATTTTTAAAATATAAAACATTTATCTCAGAATAGTTAACATCCTATGGAATGTCGTGGTTTGGGCCTGGTTGGCAGCCAACCACAACGCAGCAGCTCTCTCTCCCTTCTCCTCCGGCAATAAGAAGGGACAGAGAGCCAGGCTTGGGGTTCGAGATAGGACTGGGATGGCGAAAAATTCCCATTTATGATCACAAGCAAAAGGCAGACTCGTTAGGGGAAGAAAAAAAAGAACATACATTTATTATAGACACTAATAACACTTAACAGAGTAGGACAGTGAGAAGCATTGCCACATCTTGAGAACACCTTCCCCCACCCCTCCCTTCTTCCCGGGCTCAGTTCTGCTCCCAATATCTCTACCTCCTCCCCCAGTGGCGCTGGGGCAGGGAATGGGGGGTGCAGTCAGAGCTGCCACTTCCCTTATCTTCGGTGAGGGGAGTTTCTGGAACTTGTTCCCCCTGCTCCATCGTGGTCCCCCTCTCACAGGAGACAGTCCTCCACAAACTTTCTCCAACAAGAGTTCCTCCCATGGGACACAGCATTCCCCACACTGCTCTGTCATGGGTCACTAACTTCCTCCAACTGGATTCCCTCCCACGGCTGCAGCTCTTCCCGAGCTGCTCTGGCGTGGGACTCCCCCGCATGCTGCAATCCTCCCAGCACTGAATTACAGCAGCGGGGCTACCTTTTCCCACAAGACCCTGTCCTTCTTCGGGCACAGCACCTTGATCATGCAAGCAGAAGCCACAGGCCATAAATCAGTGTCTGCTCCACCACAGATCTTCATGGGTGGCAGGGGGGGGCCGCCCTGCCGTCTCACCACAGGATACAGGGGGGTCTCTGCTCCGGCACACCTCCCCCCTCCTTTCTTCCTCTGTTCCTCCACTGACCTTGGTGTTCATGCAGCTGCAACAACTCCTCCTCACAAGTCCGACTGCCCGTCACCACGTCCCTTCTTAAATACGTTATCGCAGAGGCGCAGCTGATTGGCTCAGTTTCCAAACAGAAGTGGAGATGACTTGGAGCTGGGGGAGCTTCGAGAAGCTTCTCACAGGGGGCCACCCCTATAGTCCCCTCCCCTGCCACCAAAAAAACTCCACCACTCACTCAACCCAGGACATTAATTTCAATGTTTCAGTATAAAACTACAGAACACTTAAACTGGTGTATCACTCACCTTCAGTAATACTGGTGCAAATACTTGTCGTACAGCTTGATAAAGGGTGTTAATTGGTGAATCTAGCATAGATGACACAAGAATATTACTATGAAGGTTATCTTCTGTAATTACATCAGGTCGCAACTTAAAGAACACCAACACATTATTCTTTGAGTCAGTAGCTTCAATCTGTAATAATTAAGAAGACAGGATTTGTTCAGAAAACTGTAATTGACTGCATATTATACTAAATTACATATACCATTTGCAGAAATTATTTAGATAAAGAAAAAAATTACAAAATACCGTATTACTCCCTATGGGCTCTGATAACATTCTGGTAGTATCTGATTTGCACAGAAAATTGAAACATTTATTATACTCATTCTGGAGTTCATAGGAACCTGAATTCCAACATCAAATACTTAATGATTCTTTCATTATAAAACATCTGTAAATACCATAATTACTTATGCTGTTTTGATTTTGAAAACTCCACTTACCACTTTCTGGGGACAAACCAGAAACTCCATCTTGTGCTTAGAGAAAACTAAGCATGAAGTCTATCCTTCTGAATTGCATTTTTACACTACATAACTTTGGGAATATTTTTCTAAATAATCACTATTGTTCTCCTGAGTCTGTCAATACACAACTCTACTGCAATTCATAGATTTCTCAAAGACAGAGAAAAGCATGCTCCTTCATTATTAAAATCGTAAGTTGTAACATGAATTTTGGATTTCACAGTCCAACTTACGGGTAAAGTTCTAAAAATTGCCATAAGAACAATTATTGAAACTATTGAAACTATTTTTGGCCAAGGAGTATTCATAAAACAGGAGGACATTATTAAACATTTGATAAAACAATAGCAAAATGGTACACTAGCTGAAATGCCGAATTCTGTGCAATTGTAAACATCTGTGAGCTTTTTTCTATTAAAAGAAAAAGAGGTCTAGTAAGAACAGCTTTCAATTTTACTGGACAGTACCAGTTCTACTTTCTTATCAAGTCTTTAGCCAAAAACCTACAGACATAGTTTCACTGAGACAAGAGGTATACCTCAGCGTCCTGATAGGCATCTGACCTTCCGCAGCTACTGCCAGTGGCTTTGTACATTAGAGAGTGGCTCAGCAGCACACCCCAAAAACTAGTACATGTAAATATTTGTTCTTCCATGAATATAGCCTGCACTAGACTTCACAGACTACACAGATAATTAAACCAGGAGGTACATAAGTTACTCATCCACACAGCAGTTCACATGCTAATGGCCCATTACATTAGCCTTTAGTGAAAAAAAAGACTGTTACTGACATAACAGGCACCACATCCCTGGTCTCACAGCAGAATGATGGGACGTGCCTCAAAACCCACGCTTTGCCTGTACACGTTATGTGGCAGGCACCACACAGTGTCCTGATTGCGTGGTGACATTCACTGCACATCACAGCCCACAGCATCACTCGGATGAGTCACTCTTTAAACACAAACCCTTAGAGCTGCACATTTCATACAGCAACACTCAGATTTGCTCACAGCTGGACACATCCATCTGCAAAACACAATTTGGACAAATACCCACCTTGGGACTTGTCAAATATCAGCCAGTGTGCCACATATTGGGCCACTCTTCCTTCACTGACATTGGCAATGCAATCCTTCCAGTCATCTGCATGCACCCTTGCCCAGGAACAACCCATACATCAGACCCCACCTGGCATTTCCAGCATGATAACATACCATCCTCCAGGCCGCTGGACATTCATACAGCAACAAGACGCAGCACACTAAAACTACACATCAGCATGGGCACAATCCACTAACAAACATATCACACAACTGACTATATGGTCTTCAGACTCTTGGGCCAGTAAGTTATGCAGCAGACAGTGAGACCAGCATAGATACCTGCAGTAGGAATATGTCTCTCTAATCTGATACCAGTCTTTCCTGACCACTAAACCTAGGCTGGCCCCCGCACCCTGCATCCCCACTGGCTCATGGGGATGCGGTGGACATGCTGGATCCATCAGTGCCTGGAAGAGCTCGGCTGGACACTACGGTACCTTGTTGGATGCAGTGAGCTGGGTGCCCGAGCACTGCACAACGAGGAGGAACTCATTGCCGTCGTCGAGGAAGCTGGTCAGCTCCGGACGGGGCTGGAGCCCCGCGGCCAGGGCGGCGGGGTCCACGGCTGGATCCAGTCCGAAGTAGTTAGCAGCCGTGGCTGCAATAAAGCGCTTCCTCTTGTCTCCCTCCCCGGCCATGCTGGCAGGACGCACCCCCGCCGGGCAGGATCAAGGCGGGGGTGGCCCTAGAACCCTACGGGAGTACGGAGGGCTGACGGGCGAGCGGCGGGAAGGACGGCGGCTCCCGCCGGGGCGCAGGCCGAGGCCGAGGCCTCCCGGCGTCCCCGCGTTGCCAGGACCCGTCACTATGGTGACTGAAAATGGCGGCGCCGGCGCGCCCGCCAGTTTGGGCCGGGCGGGGAGAAAGGCGGCGCTCGGTAAACGGCGGGGTGGGGCGGGGAACGGGGCAACCCCGCCCAGCGCAGCGGCAGCACCCGCGGGGCCCGGGGCTGCAGCGACGTCCCGACCCGCTGCGCGGCTTTTCCTCTCGGAGCCACGGAAGCATCTCCCCTGCCATCAGCCTCGCCGCGGTGTCGCGGGCACCGCGGTACCTGGGGTGCCTCCCGCTCCCCCTCCCGATCCGTTTCCGCTAACGAGCCAGCGGTTCCCGGGAACGCGCTGCTTCGGTACCACAAGGCGGAGGGGTACGGCTGCCCCGGCCGCAGGAGCCGGCGGGAGCTCTGCGCCCTCAGGGACCCCCCCCGCAGCCCCGGCTTCTCGAGCGGGACGTGGCGGCAGCCGGCCGTGCGGGACAGCTGGCGGTGAGCGATCCCAGCCACTGATAACGTGCAATAAATCCGAACCGCGATAAATAGCGACCGCGTTCCTGCTGCCCGCCAGGAGCCCCGCGGCACCGGCGGCGTGGGCGCCCCGCGGTTTCGCTGGGGGGTCTGGGTTGAGTCACCCACTTCCTTCGCTTCCAGCAGCTTCTCCGAACTAAGAACTTTTTCACGGTGAAAAAAGCATTTCTTTATTCCTATTCTCCTTTTCTTTCCTATCCTTTCTCCCCTCCTTTTTCCTTTCCTTTCCTTTTTCCTTAACTTCCTCCTTTCAATTTCTCCTTCCTTTCATCTTTTGCCTTTCCTTTTCCCCTTCCCTCCCCCGGCGCTGCCGCCCCGCGCCCCCGTTTCCGCGGGTACCGGTACCGAAGGGCTCACGCCGCCCCCTTTTTAATTCACCAGCCCCACTCGCCCCGCCCCGCGTGCTCGCGCTCCGCCCCCGCCACCACGAGCCGCCCCCCGAGAGAGCGGCCCCACACGGCGCGGCCTTATCCCCGCCCACCTAGGGGCGGGGCGCCGGCGGCGGGGAGAGAGCGGCGTTCTCCCCGCCCACCCGGTGGGCGGGATCCCGGCTGCGGCCCCGCCCCGGCGCCTCTGTCACTTCCGGCTCGGCGGTGTCTGTGTCCGGGTCGGTCGCTGTTCCCCAGGCAGCCGTTATCGCCCGGTTCCCCGCTCTCGCCTCGGGTGCGACACCCACTCCCGGTGGCCGGTGCGGTGGGGAGCGAGGGAGCGGTAGGGCTCGGTGGGGGCGGGGAGGAAGGAGCGGGACGGGACGGGACGGAGCTTCTCTTGTCGCTTCAGCGCCGGTCTCGGGAGGCGGCGGCTGGGGGCCGGGGAGCCTCGGCTGCGGGCCCCGGCAGCGGGGCGGCCCCCTCGCCGAGATAGGACGATGCCGGTGAAGAAGAAGAGGAAGTCCTCGGGTTCAGCGGCCGCCGCGGCAGACGACACCGCTCTCAAGAAATGTAAACTGGGCAGGTACCGTCTGGCGGGGTGGGCCGGGCCCGCGGCGGCAGCCGCTGCCCGCTGTCACGTCCCGGTCGAGCGGCCGCGGGGCCGGGTCGCTCCTCCGCGGGCGGGCGGCGGGGGGACACGCTGGCCCCGGCCGGGCGGCTCCGCTCCCGCCCCGCGTACCCCTGTTGTGCGGCAGCCCCTTTGTGAGGCGGCCGGGGGGGGCCGGGGCTCGCCCCGGGGGCGGCGGGCGCGGGGAGGCGGCACGGGCCCCGGCCGGCCCCTCGCAGCGCCTCGGCGGCGCCGGCGGGCCCGTGCCCGGCCGTTCGGCAGGTCCCGGGGGCGGCGAGCGCTGGTGCGGGCCGCGGCGGCTGCTGTTGCCGTGTTCGCGCTCGGAGGAGAAACGCCACGGACCCGCTTCCCGCTGGTTTTGCCTTTCACGCTGCCTGTAGGGCCGGTTCCAGCATTTCTCCCCGTATTCGTTCTAACCTTTCTCCTGCGGTAGGCAGCTCTCCTTTTAACGTTGCCAGTACTCCCAGTGTCTACGGTAAATCGTCTCTTTTTTTTTTGCAGTGAAATGGAAGGAGAGGGAAGCACATTCTAAAACAAAATCAGGAGAGCTTTCTCTAATAAATTCAGGAGTCTGAAGCATCTTGTTTCATTAAGTGCCATAAAAAAAACACTTATGCTGTGATACCCGAAAATTACCATTAGAATGATAAACCATTAGTATGGTGTTACAGGAGCTTCCAATGTGGTATCCCTAAAGTAACTGCATGCCTTCTTCATCTATTAGAATTTAAGTATGCTAGTAAACCAGTAGTTACAAGAAACATCCCGAGGACATAAGAATACAAAGTACTTATGAAATCAGCGCTACGGGAATGGCTATTGCAAGGAACTGTGCCATATGACCTTTCTCATAGGTTGACCAAGCTTGAGCTTAGAAGTACTCAGGCTTTTTTTTTTTTTTTTTTTATGATTTTGGATAACTGTTCCAGAGCTCACTTTATGTGGTTGTTAATGAGCTTTTAGTTTCAGCCTAAATTTATTCATAGCCAGTTAATAAAGGTTCTTGTGCTGGTATTATCGTTATATAACACTCCTCCCTCATGATTCTGTCTCATATTTGGAGTGATTACTTGTCCTTTCTCATATGTTATCTTGTTAAATTAAACGAGTTAACTTCTTCAGGTTTGTAATACCAATTTGAAGTTTCCTTGCTCATCATAGCTCTTTTCTGCATCTGCTCCAGTTTCAGTTCATCTTTCTTGAACACTGTGGACCAAAACTTTATGATCTTAATTTTTTTACTTCAAAAAAAAAAATATTTTGAAAGCTCCTTAAAAAAAATATTCTACAGGAAGCCAGTAGTCATTGACCAAAACTATGATGTAAATGAGAATTCATGCTAGCTGGCCACAAAATGATAGATACACGTACATTTTTGGCCTAGCATTCTTTTATAGCAATGTATTGGTAATATTCTTTAATAAAACTACTGATTACAAATGGATGTATGTTAAACTGGATAAAACCAAGAAGCAGTAGCATGTTGTGTGGTTCTGTTTCTTTCTCGTGACTTGTGTGTTTAATGGCAGTTTAATGGATGTTTTTCTGTAGTACATCTTTAATTCTAGCTTCCAGCACATAACACTTCATATTGGAGAGGATTGCTTTCTTTTCAGTGAAGCTTAAAGTCATACATACGAGATAAAGTTGTTCACCAGCTCTCAGAATTAAGCTACTCTTTTCCTGCTTGATGTTTTAATTTTACAATTGCCATGTAGGAGATGCATAATTTTAAATCCTCTCATACAATTAACTTTTGTCTCATTCTCAGAAATATCTTAGCTTGTTCTAAAAGTCTGTAACTTGTATTTGAAAGGAGTATGCATTGAACAGGTGCTGCAACTCCTTGCTGACTAGAGATACTTTCATGTGGTCAGTGTTTTTATGGGAAGACAGCCGTTATTCTATGTGTTCTTTTAAAGAATGATAAATTATGAAAATTCACCTCTAGGCAAACTGGGTTGTGTGTCACACAATGAAGACAATGTGGGGGAAAGCTGTGTGTGCTGAGCAGTATTAGTCTTACCATAGATTGCATATTACTGTTCTGGTATGTGTACCAAACATCTATAAAATGTACAGATACTTAGTTACTTATTTAATGTAAACAAATTGACCGAGTCTTCTTCCCAAATTTGGATGCTTAACTATAAATAGCCCAACTTTTAAATATGTCAAACTCTGCAGCTCTTGTTGACCTACATGGGATCTGTGCATATTCAGCACTCCTGAAGATCATGCTGCTTATTAGAGACCTAACTTTAAATGCCTGTATATATAAATATAAGTAGATAATAAGGCATTTAAATTACTGAGTAGTGATATTTTGACCATCTGTGTGTGGGTTTTGTGGCTTAATATCTACAAGATGAGAGTACTATTGCATTTCAGAAAAAGTAATAGTTGCAATAAATTGGGCTATAAGTGTTGTATTTTAAGGTAATTTTATGTTCCAACAAGTGATGAAATAGGATGACAGGCAGTTGCCCTTTAACAAATTCAGCTTCGTTGTTGGATGTCTACTGAATTAATGAAACAGTTTAAGTAGTTTGAGCTAATAATAAACAATTTGGAATTTAATTTTAAATTATTTCCCATTTATCATTAAAATAACACCTTTCATCCTTTTGTTTCTATAAGCTATTGCAGATCACAAGCCTCTGGTAAAGTAATAAGTGGAGAGGAACATTTTTCAAGCAAAAAGTGCCTGGCTTGGTTTTATGAATATGCAGGTAATATGCAATGGATTCCTATTTAAAACTACATAGTTTTGTTTAAAACAAACAAATGCATCAGATGTTACTTGCATTTTGCTTTTCTAAGCTGATGTAGGCACGAAAAATAGGTTTGCTTCCCTATAACACGCTCTTTAATTAGTATAGCTTTTGCTATCACCTTTTCAGTATTTGTTCTTTCTGACTTTTTCTTCTTTACTCTGTGCTTTATAACATACCATGGTGTTCTTTAAAATGAAATAACTGATGTTGGACAGTACAGCATTGAACCAGGATATACTGAATGACTCTTATTTCTTGATCTGAAATGGCCAAGTAGAAGTCAAGATATTGAGAGATAGCCTAGATAGAAATTTGTTTATCTAACTAGATCTTGTTTATAATCAAATTGGAAGGATAATTAAATAGTTCATCAATTAAACCTCTTGGTTTTCTATTTAAAAAAATAAAATAATAGATGCTTATGATTTTTTTTCCTGAGAATCTATCCTAACATTTTTGATGTTGTAACAAATGTTTCATTCAAAAGTGTTACAAGTAATCTCTTTCAAATAAATCAGAATGGCTATCCAAGAAATAGTTGCTTTCAGTGACTATGCAGTGTATTTTGCAGAACTTACTAGATTGTTGCTGCCATTTATTTACTAATTACATGGTTAGAAATTCAGGATCTTTAAACTTACTAATTCCTTTTCTTGTCTAGTCACCACTTTAAGTCCCATCATAACTGATATTTTCCTTGCTGTCTTTCAGCAGTAATGAACTACTTCTAATTCTAGTAATCTGCTTTTTAATTTAGGTTTGAGGCATACTCTTTTGGAGTAGTGTCTTTTGTGAGGAAAATAATTATTATCCATTAATTTTCTCTGATAAATGTGCCTGCACACACTTTTAACTTTTTTAAGGCCTGTAAATTTTGGTTTTGTTGTTGAGTCAAGAACTGAGTGTAGGAGGCTATATTTTGTTAGTTAACCGGTAATCAAAATATGCCATGTTTCTAGCATAAAATAGATTGCCACTGAAGTTATACACCATTGGAGATGAAATGTTTCCATTAAAAGATAAAATTATGCACACACACACACATATATATATATATATGTATATGAATTGTATGTATGATTTCTGGGCTGAAAACATGGATTCGCGTTTATACTTGTCATTATCAGTGAACCCGTGTATGTGTTTTTCTTCATAACTTAAACTTGCAAATTTTTTAACACATTCTGTGTAAGGGCTTCTCAAAACCAGATGGCAGTGTTTTGCCTTGCTTACCTAGGTGAAAAATGTTTTTTGAAACATTTTTCAAGAGATAGGGGTTCTTGATCTTAAATGACAATTGCATTTTATTTTCTTGTAAAAGTAGCCATCCTCATTGACTATGTTCTTATCTCACAGTGAATAATTATTCAAAGTACGGTATCCAAACTTAAAAAGAATTCTGCTTACAGTAACAGCAGCTGATATAGAGGAAGCGGATGCAGGTATCATCAAGGGAAAGGAAAAAAGACTGTTCTGTCTATGTATATAGCAAAATTTGCCAAAAAATTATGAAATGGCATGTTGTTTTGGAAGATAAAGCCTTTACCTTTTATATGAGTTCATATTACTAAAACAATATTAACATAGCGATCCAAGACACATCAAAGTAGCACGTCAGCAGGCCTACTAATAATATTTGATTGCCCAGTATGAGTCATTTCTGTAACAGGCTTAGCAGAAATACCTGAAACCAGAGAGATTCAGAGAGATGATGTGTTGTGGAGCGTGTCTGTCTGTCCTCTTTAAATACTCTATTTTACTGCTTTTTAGAATCTTTGTGTTAAAATGGGAAAGTGACAGCACAACACTAACTGTTGTGGTCCTCATCAAGTTATTTTCATTGCAGTCCTAAACCTTTTTCTGCTTTGTACGTGTCTAACACACTTAGCATTTTTCTGATTTATTGTTACCACTCTCCTCATTACTCGGGATCATAAAACTTACCTTACATTTTTTGAAGATTCATTTTCTGTGTTAATGCAAACCCATAATGTTAACACCACTGAAAGCATAATATCTGTAACAATAGCTCAGACAGAATTAATGCTTTTATCGTTGATTAAAATAACTTTTAAGAACATTATTCATATAGTAACTTGAGCACAGAGTAGCAGTACCCACGTTGTCTTAAAAACAATTGACCACCACAATTACTGGAGTTGAAATATGTCAATGGGAAACTCAGTGGCGTCTTTTGAAAACTCATATACAGACTAAAATAGCTTGTCTGCTGTTGTGGAGAGACAGTGCACAACGTGAAAGTTCTGGTTAGTTTTGCTTTTAGTTAATAGTGTTACTTCATATATAATATCCATGTCTCCGCATTGCAGTTGATAGAATGGTTCTAACATAAAAGCTACTTAATAGTGTAATTCAGTGTTTTTAAAGATCGCTTGTTTGCATTATAGTCTTATTGCTGTGTATAACCCTTGTGAGCAGTTACTCTGCCCTTGTGAATGTTACCTAGATTTCAGTTCTGGTTTCTGATTTTGAAGGTCCTGATGAAGTTGTGGGGCCCGAAGGAATGGAAAAGTTCTGCGAAGACATCGGTGTTGAGCCTGAAAATGTAGGCTTCTTGCACGATACTAATAACACTTTAAAAGGGGGTATTGAATAAGATGAAGTTCTGTGTAAAAACTCTTAACTTCAGTAAGCAAAGAGTTTTTTATCTTCCTGCATTTAGGAGCTATTCTAAGATATTTCAGCTGAATACATCAGTTATGTGTGGCTGATGTGTGAGGTTTTTTGTTTGTTTTATTATAGTAATAATTCATTTTCAGAAAATGAAATTAAGGGAAATATTGCACATATCTGAATTATTGAATAGTAACAAATATATAGCGCAGGCATGTGCAACAATTGCTAGAATGTTTGAATGCTTAGAGTTTTCTCCTTGGACATCTAGAAATCAGCCTTTTCTTACATACTGACTCCTTTTTCTTCCCTTATTTTTTTCTCTCTAGATTATTATGTTAGTTTTAGCCTGGAAACTAGAGGCTGAAAGCATGGGATTTTTTACCAAGGAAGAATGGTTGAAAGGAATGACGTCATTACAGTAAGAGTGTTTTTACAGATATAAAAGTGTTCTAATTTTATGTTTGTACCAGTACCTTGATTATTCTTGTCCTCAGTTTCTTGTGCATTGTCAGTAAGACACAAACTCTTGCCTTTAGGTCTGGTCTTGGTCATTAACTGGAAGTAGCTGCCGTTGTTCAAGTTATGAATCTGATGAGTTCACTCAAATGACAAATTTTTGTCTAGCCCTATTAAGTCAGGTTTTGTTGGCTTCTTTTTCTTACATAATGATAAAATACCATTCTAGTTAGCAGACACAAATAAGTTGATCTGGAGATACCCATAAGCATATCTCAGCACTGGTATTCTAGAAAGTTTTTATTGATTTTTAAGCTTTATAGATGAGGACTGCATTGGTAGTAATTTTAGTTACTAGTATTATTTATTAGATGCAGGTCAGAAGCCATGCTTAATGCTTAGGTTAAATAACACTTTTTCAATTTATAAACAAACTAGCCTAAGAATTTTTGGTGAGATAATGTTCTGCCTAAAGAGGTTGTTTATTTTGTGAAACTGATCAGCTTTTTGTGAGGCTTAGTTGTTGCTTTTTGTTCTTCCTGAAACTACTTATGGTACATAAATGTTTCAAGGGTGACTTGTTGTGACACTGCATTCAGTATTAAAAATGTCAGGGAGCTGCTGTTACAGCTGCAGCATGGTGGGAAAGAGGGGTTGACCTGACCCTTGGAATTGGCACAATTGCTCTGTCAGTTGTGAATTGGTTTGGGAAATTGTATTGGGCAGATACCCTCTGGTTATTCAAGACTATGGAGTAATTGAGTCTCTTGTGCAAATCCTGCTTGATTTGGGATCAGGCTTCCAATAGATGTCTTGATTGTTTTGTGACTATCAGAAGGTCTTAAATTTAGTAAGAGCTGGTATGATTAAATTGCCTGAAATTCAGGACGACAAGAGATTAAATTCTGGGTGCATGCATTTTTAGATGCAGTGATTGTGTATAATTTGGTCACTTCTCTGAAGTACTTAATTTTTATGCCCAAATGGAAGCTCTCAAGAGTCAGCCAGTGTAGCAGAATGCAAGCACAGAGGTACATGAAATCAGGCACCTCTTTAGAGCTGGTATTATAGACTTTGTTTCTAATAATCTGCTGTGATTAGGAATCTTCTGGTCCTTTTAAGAACAGAGCTGGTCATGCTGTAGGCTAAATGTGTTTAAGACAGAAAATACGGTACTGCTGTTGATTTTTATATAAACAGACTTGTTAATGAAGCACTTGCCAAAGCCTAAACCCATTAACCTGTATGTTTTGTTTCCCCTGGCTGTGCTTTAATAGCAGGCTGTAGAATAAGCAGCTGGATGAGGCAGTGACACTCAGATCAAGGAATTCAAGATTCATGGGCTTAAAAAGAGAATATAAATCTGTAGACTTGTGCTGTTTAGGCTTAGTGGGAAGGGAGGATCATATTATGGGATTGCACCTGGAATGGGGTTTCTCTTGAAAGGTTTGACAGAAGTTTTGGATGAGAAGGATTTTTATGCTCTTAAAGCAATAGAGTGTTACTATGTTTTTGCGCAGCATTTTTTTTAATTTTTGCACAAAGAAATTACATTAAAATGCATTAAAAGCTCAGAGTGTATTCCAAGTCAGAGTTAAATTACAGAATACTTATTTCAAAATATGTGAAATGTCACATAAGGTAATTGCATGAGTAGAGTTGGGTGGAATTCATCTACAAAGTAAGATGCCTAAATGTGTGGTTTATATGCAAGAGCTGGATTTCTTAAACTCTTAGTGCAATCTTTGGAGATCTAGTCAGTATAGTGGAGCTGAGGGCAGTTTGCTCTAAGACACAGTGGCTGGTCATCTGAATTGCTCTTATGAGTTGGTTGACTAGACCTCCATGAATGGCAACACCTAAAGCTTAGACACCTAAATCTAATCTACAGTTTAGATGCCAGCATTTGGGGTGCCTGAATCTTGAAGTGACATTCTTTACGTGTGTAGTTTTGTGATATGCTGATGAAATTTGTTCTTTAAGAGGAGGAGAAAAAGAAGTACGTGATAAGGCATAAACTGTCAAAATTAAGTAGCAGCTTATGAAACTTAAACAACTTAAGCTGTGAAAGTGAGGTTCCTATTGTATCATGTTGGCGGAGTGAATTCTGCCTTATATATGTATATATATGTATGAAAGCTGAGTGCCTGAATACATTAACCACCTGAAACTCTTCTTATAGCCAACAGAAAGAAATAAGTACCTCTGGGCAATTTATTTCAGCTGTTTTAAACACCTCCTTAGGATAACCCTCAGGAAGTGACTCTTTATCTACATTTCCTTTAAGTCATTGGAGGGTGAATAACTTAGAGTTGAGCATTTCATGTATCTGAGTTAAAGGAGAAGCATACTCATGTATTTGTTAATTGTAAATACAAACCTAGTTATGAAATGAAGATGAAGGAAAAAGGATTACAATTCATGATTTTATTAAACTCCACAAAACTCATTGTTCAAACTAGGTAAATACAAAGAGCTTTGTGTATAAGGAAGTGAGGCATGAGCAGCTGTATTGTCTGACTACTTCCCTCTGGCTGTGTGGGTTTTTTTTTTAACCTTAAAATTTGAGCCAGATTTTACATAAAAGCTGAGTTTTTGAAAACAAGTGGCCAGGTATAGGGAAGAGCACCAAATTAGATTGCAACTGAGGGAAAGAAAGTCATAATCTCACATTTTTTAGGTACAAGAGAAGCCACATGAGAGAGGGAGGGAGGCAGGAAAGTCAGGTTTATAACTCTTTGCTGTTTGCAGAATTATTAATAAAACCAACTTATTTGAGTTGGTTTTAATTATAGCCTAATTAGCTGCTTTTCCAATTAGCTTTTTGCTTGTTACTGCCTTTCTGTTAAAGTTTGTGAGGCTAACACAGAGAGTAGTGTAAATAATTTTTTTTTTTTTTTTTTAATGCCAGTATAGCATTCAGTGTATACTGGAATCTAAGCAATTTCTGGTCTCGAGAACTGTAAATCAGTTGACATAGTGAAACTACAGCATTGTCAGGACATGGAAAAGATGTCCCTTTGCTCTCTTAAACCATTACTTCTTTGGACCTCTGCATGCTCCAGTTATAACATGGAACCTAAATTTCAGAAGATCCTGTTTCAATGCTTGAAGAGACTGGATGAGCTACATGGATATAACTTCCTTCTGTTTAGAGTGCTGGATGATGGCAGGGAACTTCATATGGATTAAAAGATCTTCAAACTATTTTATATACTACCACTGAATGCTTTTGGATTAATGTTTGTATACATCTTACTGATTTTACTTTTTAGTAAAAGACAAGCACGTGTGAATAATTATGAAATATGAAACATTGGAATATCTGTGTGGGAGTTATTGAATCATCATTCTGTCCATGTTAGCTATGCCTCAAATGAACTCCGTACCTCAGTAGAAATCAAAATAGGACTGCTCTGTGGTGCTAATTTACTTTGCTATAAATATGATATAAGGATGTGATGATACTATAGTAAGCTAATGTGCAGTTTTGTTGATCTTCAGGTAACCTTATTTAATGCTATCTTTCAGCAAAGGCAGTTCAAGAAATCACATCTTTTTTTAGTCTCCTTACAGAAGTTTGATGTTAATTAACTTGGTGCTAATTAGGAGGCTGTTCTGACTGGAAAAAAAAAAAAAAAAAAACCTGCTAGGTATGGGTGGCCTCAGTCATCTTGTTTATGCTGCAGTCATGCAGTCACACAAACAGCTATATCTATAAAAGAGGAGTTTGACAGCTCCTTACCTCACTAGTGTCAAGAAAATCAGTGACCAGGTGTGCAAATGCCTTAAATGGCTTTAACAGAGATATGATCCTGCATCAGGCTTCAGAGCCGAGGGTGCTGCCTATCTGTTTGACTGTGATCCCTTTGACTGTTTGGTTTTAAATAGGTTGACAGTAGCTCCAGTCTTAAGGCTTAATAATTGTGCATTTTCATACAGACATTTTCAAGAGAATCACTTCTGCGTTAAAATACATATAGCCAATAGTACAGTAGACAATAACAGTAATTTTACTTTGTACTTATTTATAATTATTTGAACAATTTTAACAGAATATTTTGTAAGAAATTTAAACATACTGAAATCTGTAAATAATCTTAGACCAATTATATTTGACAAAATGTGTGGTAAGCCTACTTTATTGTACTAATGACATATAAACTACTTAACAAAATGAGCATTTAATTAGGTGTTAAATAGGTAGATTTGTCCTCAAATGTAGAGGACAATGTTATTGCAGTAGGAAGGTTTGAACATAGAAGAGAGATGAATATAACATGAGATGCATTTGTAGCATAGCATAATAAAGTTTTAAGGTTTAAATGATAGAATACATAGAGCAGTTAGATGGCTGAAAGCAAAAAAAGTAATTTTAGTTAAATTTACCAAAGCTTTTTTAGCAAGATTGCTTTTCAGCTTAATGCGTGGTTTATTGCAAAATACATTCATTCTTGTCATCTGAATATACAGCCTAATTAGTTAATAGTTTTATTTATTTAGCACTGATCTTGGCTGGGACTCAGTGCTGCTTTAGGTAGATGCTGCTAGAGACAAGCAATAACAAAAGGCTCCATCAGCTGGAATTGCAATGGTTCTCTTGTTGCAGCCTGAGAGGGGCAGACAGACAGACGTGCATGCGCAGGCTAGCAGACCTGAGGAACAGGAAGTATCAGCTGTGGACAAAGTACAGCATCAAAGTACAGCATCTCAGCAACCTGCTGTGGTACTTCCAAAGGGCCCTTGCTGTGGGCTGCTGTGACAAGTCCATAAGGAGTGGTTAAAGATGCAAATGTATTCTCTGAAAGGCAGGCTGCCAGAAGGGGACACATTACCAAAGGAAGTATTTATGTGCATCTGCATTTCTGAAAGTATTGCTTCTGTTGTTCAGGATGCAGAGCAAGGTGGCTTTTTTTTTTTTTTTTTAATCATGGCAGCTACTATGTTATATCATGTTTTATTCTTATAAAAACTCTTGTTTTGAGTGAGTCTTTCCTGGAGGATTAGCATATGTAAATTAAATTCTCCTCTGCCATTGTTAGTGAATCTAACTCATTTCCTATTTAGAAACAAAAGTCCTTGCCAAATAAAATACGTGGAGATCTTCTCTTTTGCCGAAGGGTTATTTTTGCCTAAGGGTTATCCTGTCAGCTAGAGACCTGTACATTCTTGTACAGCCTGTGAGTTTTTCAGTAGAGTAGCTACTGACTAATCCAGATGATAGGCTTATCAGAGCTTGCATTCATCAGTCATAAAACACAAATATTTTGCAGAGTGCCTGCTTAGTCCTGCCACTCATACATATGTAGTCTTGAAGTGCATGTTTAATGTTTGTTTTTTTCCAAAGAGATACGGCATAAAGCCCTTATTTGCACTTGGATTTTACCACCATAATGTACACTGAATACTTTTCTCCAAACTTTCATAGTGATTGAAAGCTAAGATAGTGCTGGGTATGAGTATAACTTACAGAGTATGGCATAAAAAGACTACTATTTGAGAAGTAAAGCAGACTTTGTAATACGTTGCTGATAAAGTAAGGGGTTGGTTTTTTAAATTTACTTACATAAGCAAGTCATCATTTTAGTAAGCTGCAGATGTTCAACATACTTGTTCTTTAAGTGACTTCCATAGTATTACTCCTGTACACCTGATGATTGCATTCTGGTGATTTTAATTTTTTATGTTTGCTGACAATTTTTCATTGTCCAAATGTTTTGCTTTGAACTTCTAACATAATTTGGTTTTCTTAATTTTAAGGTGTGACTGTACAGAAAAATTACAGAGTAAATTTGACTTCTTGCGGTCACAATTGAATGACATTTCATCCTTCAAGAATATCTACAGATATGCCTTTGATTTTGCAAGGGTAAGACTACAAGAATGTTAGAGATGTTTTTGTTTTAATTACTCAATGAGCTTGTACTTGAGTGGGTTTTTTTGTGCTTTCTTTATTCAACTTTAGGATAAAGACCAGAGAAGTCTTGATATTGATACTGCAAAATCCATGTTAGCTCTTTTGCTCGGAAGAACTTGGCCACTGTTTTCAGTATTTTATCAATACCTGGAGGTACAAATTTCCTTGACTTTCTGAATGATGGCATAGTAGTTCTGTGAAAAGATTTCAGGGTTTGTGTTTGCTCAGGAATGTATCTATATTGCTCCTTTTCCCTTGCTTGATGTGCTTATGAAACAGTGATGTTTTTGTATGCATCACAGATCCTTTTTTCCCTCCTTGTGCCCCACCCCCTCTTTTCTTATCAAAGGCAACTAAAATTTTGTCATAATTAGACTAAAAAGGTAAAGTTACAGTTAAATAAAAGAGCCCCGGTAGTCTCTTCAACTGCATGTGTGTTGAGTTTCAGTTTTGCTTTGTGTAGATACAGTATGTATGTACCCTGAACTCTGTCTCTCTGAGATTTTGGTCAGCTCAGCTGCAGTTGACTTAGTAACGTGGACATGTATAGGTTGTGGAGCATGCTAGGCTAGAGGCTATTCCCTGGCTTCAAATCAATACTAAAGTGGCAAAGTAGATGTCCTTATGAACACAGTGTACTATACCTTGGAGAGATTATTTTTGTAATCATTCATTCTGGAAATTTATGTGAGCTAGGTATGTCTCACTTCAGGGACAGACAAAAACTTAACAATTTTTGAAGCTTCAGTATGGTGACTTCCTGATTCCCTGGTATTTTGATTTTGCTCTGATCTTCCAAGAAACCCATGTTATGTAATATGTACATGAATCATACAATGATTTGGCTTGGAAGGGACATTAAAGATCATCTAGTTCCTACCTGTGGCAGGGGGGTTGGGACACCTTCCACTAGACCAGGTTTGCTCAAAGACCTGTACAAACCTGGCTTTAACCCTTCCAGGAATGGGGCAACCACAGCTTCTCTGGGCAACCTGTTCCAGTGTCTCACCACCCACACTGTGAAGAACTTCTTCCTGACACCTAATCGAAAACTACCTTCTTTCAGTTTAAAGCCATTACCCATTGTCCTATCACTACGTGCTCTTGTAAGAAGTCCCTCTCCAGGTTTCTGTAGGCCCCTGTTAGGTACTGGAAGGCTGCTGTAAGGTCTCCCTGGAGCCTTCTCTTCCTAGACTGAACAACCCAAACTCTCTCAGCCTGTCCTCGTAGGTAAGGTGTTCCAGCCCCCTGGATCATCGTTGTGGCCTCCTCTGGACCTACTCAAGCAGATTCATGTCCTTATGTTGGGGCCCGAGAGCTGGACACAGTATTCCAAGTGGGGTCTCACAAGAGCAGAGTAGAGGGGGATAATCACCTCCCTCGACCTGCTGCCCACACTTTTGATGCAGTCTAGGACACAATTGTTTTTTGGGCTGCAAGTACATGTTGCCAGATCATGTTGAGCTTCTCGTCAACCAACACCCCAGGTCCTTCTTCACAGGGCTGCTCTCAATCCTCTCATCACCCAGCCTGTATTTGTGATTGGGATTGCCTTGACCCATGTGCAGGACCTTGAGCTTGGCCTTGTTGAACTTGAGGTTTGCACAGGCCCACCTCTCAAGCCTGTCAAGGTCCCTCTGGATGGCATCCCTCCCCTCCAGCATGCCGACTGCACCACACAGCTTGGTGTCCTCAGTAAAACTGCTGAGGGTGCACTCGATCCCACTGTCCATGTCACCAACAAAGGTGTTAAACAGCACTGGTCCCAGTAGTGACCTCTGAGGAACAATGCCACTTGTGTAGTATTTTAAAAAATGAAAAACGAAAGATACGGTAGCCATTGTTACCCATTAAATCATTTGCTAGGAACTGGCTGAAGGTAAAATGAGAGAAATGAGAAATAAGATGCAGCATTACCAAATGTCACTTGACGTTTTAATATTCTGAAATTATTTTCCCTAGCAATCGAAGTATAGAGTTATGAACAAGGATCAGTGGTACAATGTGCTAGAGTTCAGCAGAACTGTCCACGCAGATCTTAGCAACTATGATGAAGACGGTGCATGTAAGTATTCATAACACTTTTGTTATTCAATGATTATTTCGGTCTTTTGCATAAAACAAATTCCTGTACAAACTATGCTGTAAGGTATAAAACATCTTTTCCAATAATTCATAGAAAGACTGTCCTGATATCCATCCATCTTCAAATTGCAGATATTAATTGTAGTAGTATATCAGGGGCATGATGGTGTATTTGAGCCAACATATTTTCAGTTGAAGATCTAGTGAAGCTGCTTGTTACATGAAACTATAGATTTGCAAATAGAATTACAAAAAACAAAATCTCATTTTGTACTAATATGTGATAAACTCTAGTTTAACTATAAAGTAGCCTAGCTGCTGATATGTGGGGCTGAACTCTACACCTGGCTGATAGTCAAGCATACTATAGCCAAATTGCATTAGGCATCCCATTTTGGTTCATGTTCTAATTATGTGCAATTTAGAAAGCTGTAGGAAAAGGAACTGGTTGTGCTGATTTGCAATACAACCTTATTTTTATGATTTCTGTTCAGTTCGGTGCACCTGTCAGATGTCAGGAACACTTATTTCCATAGATCTGTATAGTGTAGTTTGTGCATTTTTGACACCTTTGGATTGAAATGATTGTAGTCATCTTTGAGTCTTATTAAGTATTTGACTATAGGATTGATTTGGATGTTACCTAGACCAATAGTTTTAACCTTCATACTTTAAGAGAAGACATTTAAAAGATATTGGATATTGGCAAATATAATTCCAAGTTTCATCCATTTGCAGGGCCCGTACTTCTGGATGAATTTGTTGAATGGCAAAAAGTTCGTCAAGCATCATAGCAAGAATTCAAAAGAAAATGCAAAATTGTTTTTGGTGCCCACCTGTACACAAACTAATGAGGAAAAACAAAGGATTGCATTTTCATTATTAAGAAAGACTTTACAGTAATTTTTTTTTCCTTTTTTAAGGAAATTTTCTTGTTACACGTGATACGGGCATTGAACCACACCTCTTCTGAGACTGAAAGCTGGAGTTCTTGTTTTGAGTCTTATGTTTATAGCATTTATTTCAGAACAATAAAGATTCAGTTTTGTGACAAAGGCCTAAAAGTGAAGAATGTCCCTTGAATGTGAGTGTGGTGTCTATTTTTAAAACCAAATCTTTATGATTATCTTTCTCAGAAGTGCCCTTTGCTATGAATTTTTCAAGACCTTAAAAATACTTAACTGGCACTGTTGCTTGCTGATGGTATGATTGTCTTGTGTGACAAACATTAGAAAGAATGACTGATTTTTGGAGCCCTGGGTGGGAGTGTGCTAATTTGTATATTAAGTATTGGTCATGGGTTTTGCCACAGTTTTCAGCTCCTGGTGGAGATAAAGGCCTTAAACTCTTACTTTTTTTTTTTTTGTTCAGTACCCACCCAGTGGCATGGCATTTAATGGCAGGCCCTTTTAAAGCAGAAAGGTGTTGAGCATATGGCTCTACATGCAGAATGGCTGAAAACTAGTTGCCTGTACTTCAGATGGTGAACACAGATATTCTTTGGTACAGTAAGGCAGCTTCAAATTTTTACTACAATTTAGACTTTGGTTTGCTTTGTATAAAAAGTGCAATTTATATGTTAAAAGGGAAATCTGGAAAGACTTGGTTTCAAGCTTTGCTTATTACATGTTTTAGACTGGAATAATTTACAACTTTTTTTATCTCCCTGGATGCTTTTCATGCTGTAAGTCAAGAAGAGACTATTAAATCGCCTACCTTTGACCTGTATATAACAGGCTATTAATTTTTACCCTGTTACTCCATGTATTGAGTTCAATAACTACTGTGATTGCTGTTTCAGGCGTTCAGTATTTGTGGCAACCTTTACCTTGCTGCCCAGGAGGCCCAATGCCATCCTTGAGAAGGAAAGGGATTTTAAAGAGTAACTGTGAGAAACCAAAACAGAATGAGAGAATGAAACATTTGTAACTTCTCCTTTATTATATAAATATGTGGACTGTGATAATGCCATGAGATTCAGTTAGTGATCAAGGCCTCATTGTGCCAAATACTTCAACGGCTTGAAATAAGAATAGACAATGTAAGCTAGGCATGACTTGAAGATCTTTGCCTCAGGGAAATTACTTCTGTTTTGCACATCCCTTATTCAGATTAACAAGCATGAGTTTTCCTATCCATAAGGAAAGCTGCATTCCCAAGATGAATTTTTTTTTTTTTTATTAACAAGGAGGGGGAAAAAAAAACCTGAAAGATGTGAGGAGAAATAATGAGAAGTGGGACAAACTAGTGGTGTGTGCCTGTGCTATTGTTCTACTAGAGAGCACTACTCTTGCAACTCACTCTCCAAACCTTGCTGTGGGCTGCAGGAAGCAATGCAGTGGTGGTCCACAGGCTGTTCTGCAAGTCACTTGATAGCGCAGTTGAACCTTAGAAGCTTGGTTATGCCCAAGCAAAAATAAGCATGGGGGGAGGGGAAACAAACAACAGTTGAGATAATTGGGAGATCTGCTTGTACAATGGCTAAGGTCTATGTGCATGCAAACACATGCACTACAGCTGTTCCAAATATTTTTCCACCTTTTTTAAGGGAAATACTTAGTTTTAGACCTCCTGTAGGCTACAGCAGTTCTCTTCAATACGTTACAAGTTGTCTGTTTGCATTGCTGATAATTCTGATTTCACTCATAAGAGTGCCTTTCATTTGAAATTTGCCCTACCCTACAGAAAGTTAGTGCCAGAATGAGATTAACTTCAAGATTCTCAAGATCTACTACTAGAGTAAGGTCCTAAGATGCACAGATAAACATGCATCAATTAATTTATTTCAAGGGAAGTACTGCTATATTCTAAATCTCCGCAGGGGCACTGATTCTGAAATTACTTTTTCAAATTCACTAAAATGACTCTCCTTGCTTAGTATGTTTGATCCCCATTATAACTGGGAAATTCTCTTTCCAGAAGTTTTGAAATACCACTTAGAAGATGAATATTTTTTAGTGCGATTTAAAAAAAAAAAATCATCTTTTTTAGGTAACTGCGAACTTGTGAATTCAGTTTGAACCAGTTGGTCCTAGAGGATGGTATTAGAGTCTAACAGTAGGAGTGATGCATCTACCAATCTAAGGTGGTCAAGTACTTACCGTTAAGGTGTAAGACACTATGTGATGTATCATTTGTATCTCTGTTAAGGTTTTATCAGTATTCCTATAATAAATCCACATTTCAGGGATTTATAACTTGGTTGTGTGTGATTTGAAAATCATCAGTTACTGTAAAACTTTGACTGGGAATGAATGTATTTAAACTGCTTAAAATCGATATAGTTTTTCAAATTTGAATAAAATAGGATTTTAAGTTATGTTTTTGTGCTCAAAACTGCAATCAGATTTATTGTTTAAATGTGAACTAATGGCTTGTATAGTTTCATTGTGAGCTGATCACTTTTATTAGTTGTCTCTTATTAAATCACGTTACAGCTTACTGTGGATAAGTGCCAAAAGTTGTTTATTTATTATATTTTTTTTTTTAATTTTGTGCATGTCCACAAACCAAAACTGAGTTCAGCTAAAAGTTTTCCTTATTCTTTGAACTTCAATTTTGCTTTGCTCAGGTGCATTTCAGTCAAGTGACACGTAGTTTTTCAGTATTCCAAGATCAAAGTTCACAGGTGAAATATGCTGTCACAGTTATGATAAATAATAAAATTGAAGGTGAAATGTCTTCCAAAACTAAATCAGTGGTGTCTATCTGGATGTTACAAACTCCACTTTAATCTCACTTTCATTTCTTGATATTAACTCTTGCTAACATAACTATTTTTTTTCTAGTTTTCTTAGACAACTAACACTTAGCTTTTAAATCCAAAAACATCCACCTGTTCATGGAATAAGCCATACTGGTAGATTGGAATGTAATACTTCTATGTAAAAATGTGATCTTGAATTAAACAGTCATGTATGTTTACCTGTGTGTTTAACTGTATATGTAGTTCGATCCAGCTTATCCTGGCTGTTTAAACGTCTAATTCTTTACTACTGGCTGTAATTTCACGTTTCTACTGGCTGTAATGTCGCATTTCTCCACAGCGGGATTTGAGTTGTGCGGCTGAGGGGACTGGCCGCCCGCTCGGTGCGCGCCGCCGGCGGCCCGGCAGGGGGCGCTGTGGTCTGCGTTGCCACCTTCCCGCCTTCCACCTCAAAAGCTCTGGGCCGGTACGGTGATACTGACTGCACAGAAATTGCAGAAGGGACCAGAAGTTCGATGTTTCTGATGTTTTGTTCTTTTTTTTTTTTTTTTTTTTTTTTTTTTTTTTTTTAAGCTAGTGAACAGTTCTTTCAATGTGATATGTACAAACTTGTACAGGTTTAGCTTTGTTAAGTATGACCAATAAAATGGTATGTAATAGGGCAGAAAACTTTTTTTTGTCATGCTGCCTCTTTTTTTAGTTTTTTTTCTGCTGTGTATGTATAACTGTTTTTAAAACCACTGAGAGACTTCATTCCAGCAAGATGGATCAGTCTAATTTCTAACTTAACCTTACTGAGTTTCTTTGCTCCTGTGTGCACATATAGAAAATAAAACTTGATCTTAACGGGGATCAACATCAAACACCATTGTTGATTATATCCCATGTTAAGTGCTGATAGAACGTAATGGTCCTGATAATTAACTGTCATGAATTATTGATTGGATGAACACTGTTCCAACAACTTGTTGCAACGCATGCGAATGAAAAGGAGCTTTTTTTCTATTCCCCAGCTGTTGCCACTGTTCCCCCCCCACTCAGTACCACTCCTCTATTTTTAAGGAAAGGACTTGTTGTTTTCTAGTGTACTCTTTCGTAGGGTCTTTCAGAGCCAGAAAGAGTCAGTGTCAGTATCCCATCAGATGCTTGAGTTAGTGACACCGTTTTGCTTGCAGATAGAGCTTGTTCCACTCTGGACACTTTCTAGGTGTTGAGCTCTGATGCCATACCTGCCTCAGGACAGAGTTGTCTCCTGAAGATCATCAGTCTCTCTTAGACCTAAGGCAATGGCTGTTTGTTGTCTTCACAGTTCCACTTTATCTTCTTTCGATAGAGAAGTTCCCAGTGCACTAGGGAACAACGGTAGGATGTTTAGAGCTGCGCCAGCCAGGCAACTCATATCCATATCTACAAATGATGACAACAATTCTGTTACTTCTCTTTACCTTTGTCTTCCGTATTATCATTCTGTATTTCTTTCTGTCTCTGAGGGAAAGGACACTGTAGTGTTAGGTAGGCATATTAAAGATTGTACTGCAAGATGATGTTGCCTAGTGTTATCCTCATTTTTATTTTTAAACCACTGCCAGACTTGTCACCGAAAATAAATTTCTCAGGTTTATATATCACATCATCCAGACACTAAACTGAAATCCTGCTGGTGTTTTTATTTCAGCTAATCTGAGTATGGCATTCTCTATACATTGGGATCTCCTTAGCTTTTTTTTTTTTGTTGAATAGTAACTGACCATAATAACAATGACCGAAGATGTAAGTTTTTGAATTTGACTGTTTTATAGGCTTTACTGTGGGCTGTTTTTTATCTTAATGAGCCAAGTACTATTTCTTAATACAAGTCGGTTCTAAGACATTTCTACTGAATGACTTTATAAGTTATTAAAATATTAAGGTTGTGTCCTGTTCCTCTACAAACTATGTCTATTGATAAAGATCCTTTAGATACATAAAGATTTTCAGCATCTGAAATTAAATTTCTTCCCTAATATTGACAAGAAAAAAAAAATCACTCCTGTTTTAAGAGGTTTTGTTCATGTATGTGTTTTTATCAGCTGAGTAGTGAATTAGTGCTAATTGAAAAATAATTTAAAGGTATTTCCAGCTGATTTCAATTCTAGCTAATATACAACTTAGTTTTTTCCATACCTTTTTCAAAATTATTAACTGTTTACGATAGTGAGTTAAAGGGCCAGAATATAGTAATGCCAGCTAGTTTAATTTTTTTCTGACAATAGCACTGATGTGATTCTTCTTTAATTTTTGAAGTATTAGAATATTTCAGGGAGGTTTACTGTGCCTATTGTCATAATTTAAATTACAACGAAATGAAATGGTAGATGTGACTTGTAGCCTATAAGCTATTATAAGCTTAATGTGAAGTTATTTTTTGTATTCCAAATCAGTTAACTCTGAGTCAGTTTTCCTAATGAAAGAGGAAATATTGTCCTATGATGTAATGCCTCTCAATAATTAAAACTTATAAAGAAATATAATAAACTTCAACAGTTAATATTACATCCTTGTCTAGCTACACAACATGCTTCAATTTGAACATGGAAAAAATGTTAGTCAGGACACCTGAATGAATAATTTGGAACACACCAGAAATCATTATTAATCCATGAGAAATGTAATCACTTCAATATTTTGCAAATTACAGCAACAATAGGAAGAGGAATATTAGTTATATAAAAAGTAGGTCCTCTGTGTACCTGGCACTTGCTTCAGAGTTATGCTTTTGTGTAGTAATTTTGAGGTATTCTCAAATATATGGTTCTACTTGCATGGATCTACAAAGCAAAACCTTTTGTTTTCTCATGTGTGTTTGATTTTTGAATCAGGGTGTAATACAAAGCAAACACCAGTGCTGGAGTTCCAAGAGCTGAGCATGGGTCATGACATTGTGATTTTGCCATGATGTGAAACAGAAATATCCATGGAATGATGGGGAAATAATAGGAAATATATCTGGAAATAAAATAGATCCTACAATTTTTCCCTTTATTTGCATGCTTATTTGTATAACCAGTGGAATGTTCTGTCCCTATTTCAGACTTGTAGTCTGTATAAACGCACACACATTTTTATATATAAAAATAAATATATAAATATTTCCCATCTGGTGTTCAGCCTGGTAGGAACTGACCAGAAGGAATCTGAAGGTGAAAGGAGGTTCCATTCTCCTCAGCTTTGCTATAGCATATGTACCTTTTTAGGGCTGTGGAGGCGGCTGGTCACTTTTGTCCTATGCCGATCCCCCTCAGTGGTGATTTTTCTGCATTTGAATGGTGCTGTCCTAGGAATCGGTTTAAAGTTTGACTAGTAAAATGCTGTTCCCTTCCTGAATCTTCATTATATGTTATTATTTGTTTAGGTTTTGTTTGGTTGTTTGTTTTTTTTTTTTTTTCCACCCCTTGTATGGTGATTACTGGCTTACAGAATGAATACTCTACTGTGGAAAAATGTCCGCATAGAATTGGAGACGCCAAACCTAACAATGTTCACGGGAAGACAATAATTATTACTGATACTTGGGTGAAGCACCAGGATATTTATGTGCCAAGACCTACCCTTTGCCAATGTTTCTGACTTTTTTTTTTAATTGTTTATGGAACTGTGATTTTGGATCATGTATTAAACCACACAAGGATATTGCTGTGCCTATGCTGTACAACCTAGTATGTGCTGTACTAAAGTTCATTACAATGCATAACTCTTAAATGAAATGCTTATGACTTTAATGACTGAGGGTGTTATAGTTTGTGGAGCTTCTTCATATATTTTTGCAACATAATATGATGCATAGCTCAGCAGAAAATCACTGGTTTCTGAAGTCACAGGGAAGGATCTTGTCAGTAGCTATCTGTAAGCAGAGAATATGCTTCAAAACACAGTTTCATTTGCTATTTTATTTTTTTATGCTCATTTTAATTTCTTAAAAGGATCACTGTTTATGGGGGAACATGTTCATGCTCCTTTTTTAATAACAAAGAATATTCTTTTTCTATTATTTTGAGGTCTTGGGTGAGCAGCTAGTGCACTAGCATGTAAGGCTTCAGTTTCATTATATTAAGTAAAGTGTTGCTAATAAAATTTTTGTCCCAACCTAATGACATTACTATCCTACAAATAAATACTGTGCTTATACTTTCTATAGTGCTTGTCTTTTAAGTAGAACATTCCTGCAATCATAATATTAAATATTTTTCCATTTAAGTTCATCATCTATAGTTGCTCAATATACCTTTAAAAATGTAATTAAACTAAGAACTTGTTTTCTAGTATTAATGTTACCAATGCAAGAAATCAAATCACCTCATTCGCATTTATTACTTTGTTTATATGTTTCTTGAATGTTTTGGTCTTCTTGACATCAAAGATTTGATTTGTATTAGCATAGTTTGAGTTCACCAATGGTGATTCTAATCAAGCTGTACAATTATTTTGGTTAAATTTTGCCCTTTGGGAAGTAAATAACAGGGGCCCAGTTCTCTAAACATGCTTAAGATTTCATCCTTACAGAAATTAGGTTCCTAATGATTGACAAGACATTTATTTTATACCTTTCTATCTTTAGATTTTGTAATGGTTCATCCCTGAATTTTCTGACATCCCTGAAATAGTGGCTGACTTAACTACAGCAGAAGCAGTAAATACTAATTGCTAAGCTTCTGCTGCTTTGCAATACCAGGTGGAAGACAGAGAAAGCATCCACGTTTAGGTTGCAGACCAGGTTTATGTGGACATCATTTGGGCTGCAGTTTGAAACAGGTGTGAAGTTGACTGTATTTCTTTTAAGTTCTTTTTATTATATTGCAGTGAGAATTAAAGAGTGCCACACTATGTTATGCAACATTTTCATAGATTTAGAAATGGTGGGGCATAGTAAGGCACAGAGAAATAGGAGGAAGTGTCAGGCAGTGTCTGAGATGCTTAGCTTTTTTGGCTGGTATCGTGTGCGTTATGCAAACAAAATTAATTGATCTGAACTTTCAGGTTTTGGATGTTTCCTTATGCAAATGCCTACCATGCTACACAGAGGTCCTGCTTTTAAGAAGATTTGAATATCCAAAAATGTTGGCACTTTGCAGCAATATAACCCCTTTATAGTATTCTGGTGTCTGCCAGGAGGAGGAAAACATTTAATTGCTAGATATTTCCCAACTGTAAGAGAGTCCACATGAGACATAGGACCCACGGACTCCTATTCCTTTCTTGCACGTTTGTTGGAGATGTCATGCTGGACATCAGGAGCAAATGCACTTTGGCTCTCACTAGCCACATGTGACCATAGACAATCAGCTTCTGACAGATTTGATCGGGAGGAAGGAATTGGTAAGTGATGTTCCCAGCAAAAGTTTCCCAAACGTCTCTGTGTTACAGAAATGTGACACACCAATGCTTGGTAGGTAATTTGAAAGGAAGAACATTTTAACAGCCATTTCAAATCTAAACAAAGCAGGACTAGATTTAATAGATTTAATTTGTGGGCTCAAATTGCCTTTTTGCAGTCCAGAGAGCCCAAAGTTACTTTGGTTTTGCTGAGTTAGCTCTATGGGGTTTCAACTGGAAATACTACCATGCAACATACAACACATTTTGTAAACAAGGAAGTGATCGTGGTTTTACGTGACAATGTAGTGCCCACGATG